AACTTACAGCTCTATTTGAACAAAAAAAAAATAGTTTATTGCCCACACTTAATTATTTTATATTCGCTGTGTCAGATAAATTCAATAAAGAACATTACGTGGTAGCACATGTGGTCCACGATGCCAAATTTATACTTTTATAGTTGTGTTTTTTTTCTTTCCAAAACCTATTATTAGTTCACACTCTCCCTGTACATATTTATAATCTTGTTCAAATTTCCAATTGTTTAATAAAATAACGGGTATCTATAAAAGAACTCCGGGGTTTTAAAAATTCATATCTCACTAACTATAAAAGATAGCAAAATTTAGTCGATTTCTCTGAAAAGAGTAGCTCAAAAAGTTTTACTCATACCAATTGGTAATGTTTGTATCGACTGTTGGCGGCGCTGCAGGGCGTTGACCTTGAAATGACGTCGCGAAATTTGAAATGATGGCGACTATGCAACAAAAGGCTCAATGTGTTATTTGGCTCATAGAAACGAAGTCTTTAGTTACCGTACAAAGAAACTTTCGACGTAACTATGGTGTTAACCCGCCTTCTGACAAAAACATTCGTCAATGCTTCAGTGCATTTAAGGAAACAGGAAGTGTTTTGAAGCAAAAGTCGCCGGGTGGGTCGAGTGTGTCTCAAGAGAAAGTGGACAGAATCCGAGCTTCATGCCTTCGAAGCCCTAAGAAATCGTTGACAAGATGCAGCCTGGAGTTGGGGTTACCAAGATCTCAGGGAACGAATAGTCAATTGTGTGGCAACCGTCCCNAAAAGATTCAACTTGTACACCACATCAAACCAGCAGACAAGGTTAAGAGATACGACTTTGCTGTTTCAATGCTAGATAAAATTGATGACAATAACGGTTTTTTAAAAAGTGTAATTTTTAGTGACGAAGCTTCTTTTCATGTGAATGGTCACGTAAACCGGCATAATTGCAGAATTTGGGGTTCTGAGCCGGCTCATGAGGTCGTCGACACGCCCAAAGTAAATGTTTGGTGTGCCCTTATGCATGACAGAATCATAGGTCCGTTTATTTTTATTGAGAGAAATATCAATGCTGATGTCTACTGTGATATGTTGGAGGAGTATCTTTTTCCTCAGTTAGATGACATTGAGGCGGAGAAGGGTTTAGTTTACTTTCAACAAGATGGGGCCCCGCCACACTTCAGTTTACGTGCGCGTGAGGCATTGGACGCTCGGCTCGGCAAGTAAAATAAAAATTTTCTTTGTTGACCTAAGTAGGAATTGACTTTAAAAAACTTTTCTTTTTTATATTACTTATTTTCATACAATTTTAATTGCTAAATAAATTTAATTTCTTCCACAGCTCATCACTTGAAAGAGAAGAAGAATTCATTCAACATTGTATGGATAATCTAATGAAGGCATCTGAACAAACTAAAGAAGTAATATATTTTTAAAAAATACTTTTTCCTTTGTCCACGCCACTGAACCATAGACAAGCACAGAGTACAATTTTTTAAAGCTCTTTATTTAAATATTCATGGTAGGAATGCTATGTAATTTTCATCCCAGTGCAGCACCTGAGCTGGCACCTCTTTCTCTTATAGTTTGTCTAAAGTAAGAACTCCTCTAGACATTTGTCTGGACCCATAGCGGTGACTATGGTAATGAGGTATTACTAATTCAAGTATGGTTGCAGGATCATTGCTTAGGACATGTTTTTGCTCCAGCCGGCAAGAAGAAGGAAATCTTTTTCATCTGTCTATTGCGTTAGACATAGAGTGAAGAGAAGATACCCTCCCTAAAATCTGCTACAGTGGAAAGTCGCGTATCCGGAATCGGCGGGACTTTCCGAAGTCCGGATAATCGATTTTTCCGTATAATAGACCCCCAAGGTAAACAGAGATTAAAATGATCTGAATCTAAGAAGCAGAAATTATTTTATTATTCATTATTTTTCGGGCAATAATGTTTTAGTATTAGAATGATATCTAATCAATCAAAAACAAAATATTTGAAAAAAAATAATTATTGCTATTATAAAAATAAATATAGGAAACTNTTTTTGTTGAAAATAGTCTGATATTTTTGTTTGATTATTATTTCTTTATTGTTAAATCAACCAACAAAGTTATGCCTTGAGTCCAGAATACCAAAATGATTTTCATTTGTGAATGGTGCCCCACAGCTTTTAACATGAAGGAAATGAAATCAGATAAGAATGTTACTTCTGTGATTTCTTAAGAGATAAGTAAAGGCAATTCTAAGAAAGAAAGCTATTGTGCTGGTCAGCAGTGAGTCTTCTCTTTTCAGGAAAAATGGCAAAAGATGATTTAATAAGATTTTTTACATTATTTGAGAACCAATAATAAATAGTAAGGTTAAAGTTTGGAGAAAAAAATTTACAGGGGTTTATTTCTCCAGAGAATATCGTAATATTGAGAGGAGGATAACATTAATTCATATGCAAGTTTGTCGGAAATACTAAACATTATCGTAATAGAGGGAGTTATTGTTGTATCGGATATTGTAGTAGCGAGACTTCACTGTATTTCAGTTCATTGTTAATACAAAGAAACATTTTCATCTGTTTTTTAATCAATATATATATGTTAGTGTTTTATATGTGATATAGATTTTTTTACTCTTTATGCATAGGTATTCTCATAAGGATGCAATTCAGGTTCACTTGCATTTTCTTACAAATGTGTTCTCTACAGCTGGTTCTCCTGAAATATTTCGTAAGTATCAATTGACCTAATTTACCTTCTGAAATTTAAATTAACTAATTATTTTCCTGAAAAGTATGAAAATCAGAACTTTTAGGTGTTTCCTTCGCATCAAATTTTACAGCACTAAATGGTTAGTCAAAAAAAGTGAAGACAAAAATCTAGTAAAACCATTTGGGTCAGTTATCTGAGCAATAAGTGAAGTACTGAGCAATAAGTATAATAAACATCGTTGATTTCATGTATCATTTTAGAGTACCTTTAACATTTTAGTTTTCTAATAATCTTTAATTCTACTCTCTCTCTAATGATCTTCTGTCATGGGCTATTGGTTTTAGTTATTTTTTTTCTTTCTTCTTCATGGTGCATAGCATTATTAAAAGGTGCTTGTTTTCGTTTTTTAAATGCCCTTAAAGGGGCTTTTTTTCATGGGGTGTTTTTGCTTATTTTCCCTTTTCAAAAATGAGAATTTTTTTTTCTTTACCATATCGATATTTGCTCTGTATTATGCAAACGCATGGTTTTCACATTATTCTATTCAACGTTTTCACAATTCATTCAACCGCAATCCATTTTGCCATACCGTCGGTCTGTAACGTATGATAGCGCTAATCATGATACATATTTGATTAAATATTTCTACTGAACTGAATTCGATGAGATTCTTACACTCTCATGTGCAACTCATTCAGTTATTACCCCTGTGGCAGATTTTTGTTTCGTGCTTTCTGCAACAAACTTCCCTAGCACTAATATTTTGTTTTTAAATACTTTAAATTATAACAGTTACTAATTTAAAGTAGTAGAAACTTTGTTTACGGAAGAAAGTATAGAATAAAATGTAAAAAAATTATAAATTGTGAAAGTAATATTTTTGAATTCTTAAATTGTTGGCGATATTCTCAAATTTTGTTGGCATATAATGCAATTTCAAAGCTTGGAAATCATTGCACACATAAAATTCGTAAATAAATTAAAATTCGTATATAAATTAAAATTCGTATATAAATTAAAATTCGTTTATAAATTAAAAATATTAAAATCCGTGCAGAACTCCCAAAATAAAGATGACTTAAATAAGACTCTTTAAAAAAGACATACCCAAATAAGTGTAAGTAAAATATGGTTGCTCTTTAAAAGAAAAAAAAATGGACGAACATCATTTCTAGACGGAACTATCTTTTAAACTTTCGTGATTTCTGAATTTTTTATTTTACATTATTAATTTGAAATTTCAGCTAAAGCCAGTTACCAATTTTTTTATATTTTTAAATCTCAAATGAGAATAGAAAAATCATGAATATTTCTTTCCTCTCTGATGCAAAAGAAAAACCGAACATTTTCCCTTCTCAAAGGAAAAATCTTTCTGCAAAAATCTGTAACATTGTGCGACAATGTCTCCGCAATTCTGCCCCGGGGGTCGTTACTTATGTTTTCTTTGCATGGAGTTAAATAAAATTTATTATTTGCATGTGTCTTAATTGTTCGCTAAAGGACTCAAATATAGGAATAGCACATATTTTATTAGGTGACCACATTAAGTTTAAATTATGATATATAATTCTATAAATTCAATGATTAAAAAATGTTATAATTATTTTTTATGTATATTCATTTCTAGAATTAAATCATGAACAAGTTCATATATTATGGCAGTGTTTAGCTCAAGATACAGAGTGTGCAGATGAACTTTTTGGTTGGCTTCTCAATCAGGCAAAAGGAAAAGATCAACATGCTACGAATATTTCTCTGTTTAAGCATGCTCTCCTTGAAAAGGTATGTTATAACACCTTTGTTGCGTAGAGATGGTTAGTACTACTGCAATGAAGTGACATTGTCATACTATTGTAATGTTAATTAAGTTTAATAGCGTTCTTAAAAAGTGCCAAACGGTGCTTAATTTCAAATTTTTATTTTTTTAAAACCTTTAAGGAAGCTTTTTCATTGGGTGTT